CTTTCACTCTTCCTTTCCTCTCCCAATCTCCTTCTCAAGATCTAGATTTGTTCCCTTCTCTTATTTTTCATTTTTTTTCTCTCCAGCAATTGACGAAGAAAAATTGCTGCCTCCCTCTTTCATTGTGTTTCTTTTCTTCATCAAATATTTGGCTTCAAATTTGATGACGCTCCGGTTCCTTCTTCTCTCGAGTTGCCTTCCTTATGTTCTTTCTTTTCTTGGCCTGAAAATTGGTGACGCTCCATATCGACTAAGAGGGGACAAATCTAAGTGAGTCTAGTTTTTGCATGTTATATGTTTTAGTATTTGTTTGTGAATTTTCAATTCCGATCTTCCTCCTTTTTTTGTCATTTGATGTTATTGATTGCAGGGCAGGAAATGAGAGAAGACAGAAGACAAGTTTTTTCCCCTCTCCCTCCTATTTTTTTTTCTTTTAGGTCATATATATTGATAGTACCACTCTATACCATATGGTATTTTGTGATCACGCAATGTATATTTATAGTCACGAGTTTTATCATGATGGTAGTTGGTGATAATCTACACCAATTCCGAGAAAGAAGAATTACAAGATAATGAAGGGGGAGAAGAAAGTGGAGAAAGTCGTAATTGTATTGGTAATAAAATGTACTATTATGGATATCATGTTTTACTATGTTCGTAGAGGGTTGTAATTAGATTTATATTATTTTATATGGTTTTACCTTCTCCTACCATGTGATATTGTATGGTAAGTTTAATTAATTTGTGGTCATTCGATTTACCATGTTCTACTATGGTGGTATTGTATGATAGTTAGATTTATAATTTTTGTAGCGTGTTTTAACACGTTTTACCATGTGGTATTTGTATGGTAGTTGGATTTGTAATTTTATTTTAACATGTTATACCATATGGTATTGTATGCTAGTTGGATTTGTAATTTTTTCAGCATTTTTTACCAAGTTTTACCATGGTAGTAGAAAGAGATAGTTGGGATGGTTAGATTTATTTTTGTTGTAGAGATAGAGTTAGAGAGTAGAGAGCAAATACATTTCCCTCCCTCTTTTAGTTGTAGATGTGAGAGAGAGAAGAAATAATGTACCTTTTCTTTTAATAATAAAACAAAGAGTGAGAGAGGGGGAACGGGCAAGGGGACGGGGAGTGGGGTCCGCGTCTGGTCAAAAGTCAAAGTCAGCGTTAGAGCATCATTATCAACATTAAATGCGGGTGAGTGCAATTTATCCTACTACCTTTCCTTATTTAATTTAAATAAAAGACAAAGGCTGGCACTTGGGGGACAGAGGAAGAGGTTACATACAGTTACTAATAGGAGGATTACTAACCCGATTCGAACCCCATAGAATAGGGAATGGTAAAGGCTCCATTCCATTAGAGCAGAAATAGGAATGAGGAATAATCAAGGTGGCAACGAACCCAATTCCAGAAGATTAGCAACGTGAATTGGTGGCAGATATGTGGGATCTAGATAGCGGATGAAAACTGGCGGAATTCGTGCCATCATGTTCGACGCACCAATTCCAGAAGATTAGCAACGTGAATTTGAAGCATGTTTGATATTGTTTTTGAGAGTGCTCATAACCTGACCCGAAACCCGATGGGTTACTTCAATATTCTTATCCAAAATCAGCCAACCCAACATGACCCGACTCGTAACATGAGGTCCCAACCCGACCCAATTGTCAGGTCTAGTCCAAGGAGATCCCTACTCCTATATGGAAATGCAATACCTAAATAACCCAAGTCGATTGTATGAAGGGTATTAATGTGCTTGCTCATATGTGAGCCAACATCATCAATAAAAATAAATAGCTCTATTATGTGGATGTAACCCAAAAGAAGCCCAGTAATCCCAAGGAGTAAAACGCCTGGATTAGGTGCGATGTCATGGTTAAAGGATGGCTCAAGACCTCAATGTACAAAGATATCAGAAGCAACATACGTTTTGCTGAGCATGCTCGTGAGATTTGGGTTGATCTGAGAGATCGCTTTGGACAAGAAAGCCATTCTCACGCATATGAACTGTGCAGGCTTATCTCCCTTCTTCAACAAAAGAAAAGGTATGTCTCCTCTTTTCATACATGGTTGAGGACATTATGGGATGAAGCTGTTGCAATTTCGCCGCTACCCAGTTGTACGTGCGGTCTGTGTGTATGTGGAGTCTTCGGGTGTGTGCATGAACATCAGGAGAATAATAGACTTTATGATATACGTATGGGTTTGGATGATATCTTTGGAGGGGTCATGACCCAATTGTTAGCTATGGAGAGAATACCAAATCTCGGTGAGGCCTTTAACATCATCCTCAATATGTGCAACAAAAGCTTCTTTCCCAAAATAGTAAGGCCCAACATAGGGCCGTAGTCTTTGTTGCATAAGGATAATTAGACAGGTCACCACAAGGAGCTGGAGACGTTATCATGGAATGGGGGAGTGAGAGCGACCATGTTGTACACACTGCCATCGTCTCAAATATCTTTTCTGTCATGAACTTGTTGGCTATCCTCCACGCGACTAGGACATTAAAAATGATAGACCTTGGCATCAGACGTGTGCTTCAAATGATGGCAGCTGCGATGTACAACAGCGAGAGCCCAATGCATCTCAGGTTGAAGCTGTGGATCCAAGCCTAGTGACTGGAAACATCAGGAAATTTTGCCACCTTACTAATAACGACAACTACCCGAGATGTCAAGGGGAGCGAGAAACTAATATTAACATGCTAAGAGATTGTGGACCTGCCAACTACAACAAGAAGATGCTTATTCCAAACCATGTCGTCCAACAATTTATTTCTCTAGACCATGATGCTTGGATGCTCATCAATATCAGTAACACACCTTGGGCAATAGGCATGGAGAATTCTAGGGAAACTTCTTCTGTATGGTATGCTAGTTCATCTAGAATTACAGAAATGATAAAGTCTTCAGAGGAACGAATCTCTCCAGCTTATCCCTCCTTAAATTTATTTTACACAAAACCAAGGATTCAATTGCCACATGAAATCAGCCTCTAAATGGTGCTTAGCAACTGAAACCCCTCAATGTGTGGAGGCATTTATAAATTGGTCACCACCTCCAGCTGGATGACATAAGTTAAACATGGACAGTGCGGTGCAACGCAAACAGGGAATTACCACTGCACCTGGCGTACTACGAGATAATAATGGCACTTGGGTTTCAGGCTCCTGCAACGAGTTAGGCTCTGGACCAACAACTTAATCTGTACTTTGGGAAATTCATCAAGGCCTTAACCTTGCTTATTGGTAGAACGATATTAAGTTCTTGGTCCCTTGGAACTGACTCTAAACTGGCTTATGACCTCATTCAAACCATATAAAACACTTTCATCCTCTAGCGACCATCCTTGGAGAAATTCAAAGGCAATTGCCTCAAGGGTGGGTGATACGTGTTGTTCATACCTCCTTGGATATGAACTTGTAGAGCACAAAAAATCTAATTTTTCTATGCAATATGTTTTAAATAAGATGTAAAATGAATATGCTATGGTCCATTGAATTTTCGTTGTTTTTTTAAAAGGCTTTTACAACCACTTGAAAGTCCGCGCTCAGCTAAGAAAAGAGAAGAGGGAGCACGCAACATAAAATGCACCTGTCCGCACAAGAACAAGACTGGGCTTATCTTTGTCTGTGACAAGATTACCCATCCGCATCCGTGGTCTTTATATTGCTGCCCCTCCAACCTGAACCATTGGTCATGATTTTGTAGCCTACAAAACCCAAGGGGTTTCGTATGAGATCCTCTGCCTTTTTAAACTACGGCCATAATTGTTTTGAGATAGTTTCGAAAAAAATAATACTCACAACTAATTACTATTCTTAAATATGGTTTTCCATAAATCTCTCAAATTCTAAAATTTTATATTCCTCTCTCCACATCGTTCTCTTTTCTTCTTCCTATTTCATGTTTCTGCTCAGGTCATTGCGCAGAAGGAAATCCAAAAGCACCTTGTTTGCGCCATGATTGCATCTTTCCTACGCGCCCGGGATTCGACAACACCTGCGTATTCCTCAACCAAAACCCAATCCGGATGACGACTAACATTTCAACCCACACCCTCGATACAATGTGCCCCTTGTGCCTCTGCCGCCACGGAACAAGTATTGGGTTGAACTGTTTTTCAAAACTCATATATGAGTTTTGTATTATGATATTGGTTTGCGCTGAACTAGTATTGGTCCACATTGAATTCGTATTAGTTTGTGTAGAACTGGTATTGGTTTCCGTTGAAATAGTATTCGTATATCTGAGTTGGTATTGTTTCGCGTTGAACTTACATGTGTTGGTTCGTCAGCACTGCTATTTGATTTGTTTTGAACTATTATATGTGTTTCTAAAGTGGTAATGTTTTTTTAATGATTCGGTACGGATATATACTTTTAGGGGGAGTTCTACGGTACGCTATCCTGCTAAGTCGAGGTCTAGATAACGTTTTGATACTAAAGTTATGCAATACCCCAGATTTCTCCTAGGATACGGTAAAAGTCACCATATTTTTAGTGGTATTGGTTTGTCTTGGCCAATGTTGATCGTCTTAATGAGACAGAGAAGAATCAAGAAAAAGATAGAGGTGATTGGAGAACTCATGAAGTGAGAAAGAGAGAAAAAACGTATTTTATATGTATTTATCCTAAAAATATAATTTATAAAAAAAATAAATAAATATTTATTTTTCATATCCAATTTGTTTTTAGTTGTCACGATGACTACTACTAGTGACCATATCCTTTTCCATTCGGTGCAGCACACCGGACAAATACACTTCAACATCGAGGAACTTGCTCTCCACAGCATTTGACAAAAAAAAAATATTCAGCACCTACAACTTGCTTCCCACGGCTAATAAAGTTCTGCTCTAAATCGTTTTCTTCTCACAATATCTCCAATATTATATATACACTCACCAGCTTATCAACTCCATAATCCCCTCCCCTCCCCTCCCCTCCATAAACGTCAACCCAAAGAGATCGAGAATCCAAAATGGAAGCAGCCTCCACCCACAAACCTGCCTACGACCGCCTCGCCGAGCTCAAGTCATTCGACGAAACCAAAGCAGGGGTGAAAGGCCTAGCAGATGCAGGAATCACTCACCTCCCTCGAATCTTCCACGCCCCGCCTCATCTCCTCGACAACATCTCACCGTCCGCCGCCGCATCAGATCCCCATCACCACCACCATCATCCCAATTCCATCTTCCCCATCATAGACCTGGAAGGCGCCTCTCAGGATCCGGCCAAGCGAAACGCGATAGTGAACAAGTTAAGTGAGGCATCAGCCAATTGGGGATTTTTCCAGATCGTGAACCACGGAATCCCGTTGACCACCCTCGACGAGATGAAATCAGGGGTCCGCAGGTTCCACGAGCAGGACGCGGAACAGAGGAGGCAGTTCTACACCCGCAATTTCAGCAGCAGGATCGTCTACAACAGCAACTTCGATCTCTACACCGGACCGGCTGCCAACTGGCGGGACACGGTCTCTTTCAACATGGCTCCCGACCCACTCAAGCCCGAGCAGCTGCCGACCGTGTGCGGGGAAATCGTGGCAGAGTACTCTGCGGAAGTGGTGAAATTGGGGGATTTGCTGTTCGAATTGTTGTCGGAGGCTCTGGGTTTGCGTTCGAATTACTTAAAAGATTTGGATTGCGGGAGAGGGATTCAGATGGTTTGCCATTACTATCCGGCGTGTCCTCAGCCGGAGCTCACTCTAGGAGCGACCAAACATGCCGACAATGATTTCATCACGGTGCTGCTTCAGGACCATATTGGTGGGCTGCAGGTTCTTCATCAGGGGAAGTGGATTGATGTGCCTCCGTTGCCTGAGGCTCTGGTGATCAATATTGGGGATTTTCTTCAGCTGATTTCCAACGACAAGTTCATAAGTGTGGAGCACAGAGTGCTGGCGAACAGCAGGGGACCGAGGGTATCGGTGGCTTGCTTGTTTGGGACTTACCTTTTCCCCAATCCGAGGAAGTATGGTCCGATCGAGGAGCTGCTGTCGGCAGAGAATCCGGCTAAGTATAGGGAAACCACGACGGCAGAGTATGTCTGTTGTGGGAATGATAAAGGGCTTGATGGGAGTTCTACTTTGTTGCAGTTCAAGCTCTGAAACTTGGGGTTGTTGAACAGATCTTGTGGCTTGAGAATAAACGTGTGTAATGGCCTTTCACGGACATCTGATAAACTGAGAACGGGTAATAACAGCAGATATTGAAAGATCGTCAAAACTCAAACCGACGATCATGAATGTCAAAGTGGATCGACAAGGTTTTAATAATTAAAAAGTCCAACAGTGGCGACCCCAGCCGTCCAGCCCATCTCATCGCCGATCAAAATTTCCCGGCAGGCCGTCAGTCTTTTCCGGTGCATTCCTGCCATTGCTCTTTCAAAAAAAAAAAAAAAAAAGCGTTCCTGCCATTGCCAGTGCCATTTATTTTTTGGTTCGTCCCCAGTGTCATTTATTTTTTTTGGTTCGTCACACACACACACACAAAGAGAGAGAGAGAGAGAGAGAGAGAGAGACCTTGATACTTCAGTTCTAGTTTTTTATTCTTTGCATGTGTAATTTTGGGGCATCAGAGGAGGGTTTCAAGCGCAATTGCAGAGCTAAGTGAATATCGATTTTCTGCCATCTCTGTTTTTGAAAACTTCTCAATCTTATTCTCAGCAAGAAGAATAGTATGCATGTTGCCACCAGTCTGAAGGAATGGGGAATCAAACTCGCCTAGCCACCGATCGGATCCCAATAGAAGAACAGAGAAAACATCGGGGAAGAGAGAACTCGATCGGCGAGATCAGAGAGAAGGAAGATCTCAACTCAGCCAGACTCCATCCAATCAACAGGGGGGAAGAAAAGGAAAGGAAAGGAATTGGATCGTCAAGGGAGGATGTGATAATCAATCGACCTGAAGGGAGAGAAGAATCAATGGCGGCCTCCGGGCCAAACTCGGCCAGCCGCCAAGTAAATCGACCAAGGCTGAGAGACCAGAGCTTCAAGATCTTTTGTAGAACCGATAAGAGACCAGAGCTTCGTCAATCATCAAGGAAACGACGAAGCTACAAACCCACCTTCATCATCGTCCAAAGAGAGAGCGCTTCCAATGAAACGGCGGAGCTCCGACTTGCCTAGCCGCCATTCCGTCGTCGTAGGCAATCCGAGGAATTGGGAATGAGATAAACGGGGATAAGGGGGAGAGGATCGGGGAAGCGGAAACTGAATGGTGGATATCGATACTTAGACCCAATCTAACGGTTATCCGCATGTGCGGTAGGGAATTTACCGTGCACCGTAGCACAGCCCACTGGACCCCTTAAGTACAACTCACGCTTTAATATATCTAATATTGAAAGATCGTCAAAACTCAAACCGACGATCATGAATGTCAAAGTGGATCGACAAGGTTTTAATAATTAAAAAGTCCAACAGTGGCGACCCCAGCCGTCCAGCCCATCTCATCGCCGATCAAAATTTCCCGGCAGGCCGTCAGTCTTTTCCGGTGCATTCCTGCCATTGCTCTTTCAAAAAAAAAAAAAAAAAAAGCGTTCCTGCCATTGCCAGTGCCATTTATTTTTTGGTTCGTCCCCAGTGTCATTTATTTTTTTTGGTTCGTCACACACACACACACACACAGAGAGAGAGAGAGAGAGAGAGAGAGAGACCTTGTTGACTTTTGGATGAAACTTCTCCTTATAGGGATGGAGCCTCCAAAGTGTTTTTTCTCGTTCGTATGGATTGTCGGTCTAGTTTGTCATTTTTGTCCACCATGTTCGTACTGTTTGTATGTCTAAAAAACACCCGGATTGACTTTGGGAAGGAGCCCCTTTATATAGGGATGAAGCCTCAAAAGTCAACCCGGTTGTTTTTTCTTTTTGTATGGTTTGTATTGTTTGTCGGTCAGTTTGTATTGTTTGTACAGTTCATACGTTTGTAATGTTTGTAAATCTGTTTGTATGTTTTGTCGCTCTAGTTTGTACTGTTCGTATGTTTGTATGGTTTGTACGGATTGTAAATCCGGTTTGTATACTTCGTAATTTTCCATAATACCCAAACTACCCCTGCCATTAATTAAATAGCCCTTCTCACTTTTAACCATTGGATTGAAGTGTCCAGATCTAATGGCTAGGAGGGGCTTAGTCAAGTGACTAAGCACCCCCTAGTCACCAGATCCGCACTCTATGGAAAGCCCAATCGTAACTGGACTTACTACTAATAAGAACTAACTAGGGTGTCGCTCTGCAAAGCCCATTTTCTCTGTAACGGAGGCCCATGAAGGCAACCAGATCACTTGTCTAAGGTGAATTATATATGTAAACGGGGGCGTTTGCTTAGTCCATTTTTATTTTGATAAAATTTGAGTTTTGAAAAATATATATATGGATTTGGATTCATTATGAATTTGATTTTTGTTTTGTTTATTTTAATAGATTTTACGATGGATTTTGATTAATTAGATTTGTATATATATGAAGTGAAATTAACCTTATTGCTCTCATTAGTACGAGAAGAGAAAGGAATAGGGTGGATATATAGGTAACAAAAGATGGACGGCAAGTCTATGGCCAATTCCCACATAAAGATGGACAAAGTCTATGATGGATCCAAATCCATCACCAAATCCATCAAGTAATCAACCCTTGTCGTTTGCTTCGTGGATTTGCAAAACGAAAGTTTTGGTAAATTTAGGATTTTGTAAAATCATGAATATATGATGGGTTTGGGTTCATTATGGACTTGAAAAATAAGATTGTTATTTCATATATTTCATGATGAATTTGGTTAATTAGATTTGTATGTATAAAGTGAAATTTACATATATTACTCTCATTGTTATGAGAAGAGAAAAGGAAATAGGAGGGGTAGGTTGGTCATAAATATGAATTTCAAAGTACATGGATATTTGAGGGTTTTGGTATAACTTGGTTTTTGAAAAACCATTGATATATGATGGATTTCAAAGTCCGTCGATTTGAAAAATGAAGGTTTTGATATAACTTGGATTTTGAAAAACCATGGATATATGAGGGTTTGAGTTCATTATATATTTGATAAAGACCATTTTTTGTTTGATGGATTTTGTTAATTAAATTTGTATGTATGAAGTATAATTTAACTTTATTGCCTTGAATGATATAAGAAGAGAAAGAAAATATGAGGGTATGTTGGTAAAAAATTATGGAATTCAAAGTCCATGATCAATTTCCATTTAAAGAGGTGAAATTTTCAAGTTTGTGGGGCTCACGGATTTGGACCCTCAAAGTCCAAAGGTCCCTCGGATTTGTTACCTCTAAATAGTTGGAGCAAACAATAAATTTTGGACAAAGTCTATCATGGATTCAAATGCATCACCAAATCCTTCACCAAGTCCATCAAGCAAACAACCCATTAAAAGTTGGAATTTTCAAATCCGTGATGCCAAAAATTTGGGCTTTCAAAGTTCCTTTATAATACGAATTTATAAAGGGAAGGACTCAGTTGTCATTATGAAATATTAAGGGGGCGAAAGGAGTGTAACGTTGTGCATTAATTATTTGTCCCGCTCATCACCACAAGTATCACGAGAAACATTCTAGAGAGAGAAACATTCTGGTTTGTAATGCATGTAAGCTATATCGATTGGTAATGTAAGTCTTGCCCATTTGTACTATTCGATGTAAGTCCTATCAATTTGTATTCTAACTAATCATAATTGACAAAAGATTATGATTTCTAATGTAAACTTTTCCAGTTTATAATGTGAATCTGTTGACACCTAAAATTAATTTGGCCGGGATTAAATGCCGCATTAATTAGTCTCGGCATTTAAGTCGATGCCGCGGGTAAAAAATGGTGTCGTTTGGAGTTGAGCGGTGTCGCGGAGAGTTAAAACGGTACCGCGAAACTGAAAAACGGTACCGCAAGGAAGCTCAGCGGTAACGCAACACCGGAAACGACACCGCTGGCCGAAAATAAAAAAAAGGGGCCGCGCGTTTAATGAAGGTTGGAGAGGAGTTTTAATTGTTTAATTATTATTTTTTATTCCTTGTGAGAAGCGGCACCGCGGGGAGTTAAAACGATACCGCGAAACAGAAAATCGGTGCCGCAAGGAAGCTCGGCGGTACCGCGGAACTGGAGAGGGGCCGCGCAGTGTAGGTGTTGGGGAAGGAGTTTTTTTTATAATTAATTATTATTTTTATTCCTTGTTGGAAGGGGAAAATCGGTACCGCGGAGAGCTAAAACGGTGCCGCGGAATTAAAAAAGGTACCGCGAGGAAGCCCAACGGTATCGCTATACTAGCAAACGACAGTGTTTAATAATAAACAGTGTCGCGGAAGGAAAAACAAACGGAGTCGTTTTGGCGCTAATGATGTCGTTGGTCAATACACGAGTTGGACTAGTGATGGCCAGATTAATTACTTAATATTTTTAATGGCTTTTTAGCATGGTGTCAATTAGTTGAAAACGATGCCGGAAGAGGAAGAAACGACACCGCGGATTTAAAAACGATGCCGCGAGTGGGCCAAATGATGCCGCAGTAGCTAAAACGATAGTGGTAAATGCAAAGCGGCATCGCAAAGTTCAACAACATCGCAGAAATAGAAAACGATGCTGTTTAATTATGAACGGCCCCGCGAAGTGAGAGTTTGACGGCGTGTCAACAATGATGGCCGGTTTAATTAATTAATATTTTAAGGATTAGTTAAGACGGTGTCTCTTTAGCCGAAAACGACATCGTGGGAGATATCGACACCGTCGCGGTACTGAAACGATGTTGTTTAATAGAAAACAACGTCGCAGTGGCGAGAGTTCAGCAATGGCGGATTTCGGCTCAATGTCGTTTTGGCCAAGTTGCCACATGTGCAAGCGGTTTCGCACTCGTGGGAGTTACGCAACAAGGAGGAAGTTACCTGCACGGTTGACAGGAATGAAGACGTGGGAGACAAAGGCGCGAAGGCAGTTACTACGACTGCGGGGAGAAGAGCGAAGTATAAACAACAGGAAGAGAGAGAAGCTCGGGACGGCAAAATCAAATCACAACTGCACCATTGCAGAATTATCTTTTTTCTCTCTAGTTTCGTAGAACCGCTCTGTCAAAGAACTCCTTTGCAGAGTCGTAGATCGTAGCTTGTAGT